TTTGTTTTGTTTTAAATACTATGTACCTTTTTATTTTTCATTAACTTTTTTTTTTTTTTTTTTTTTCAATCCTCACCTGAGGACATTTTTTCCATTTTTTGTTCAGATAGAGTGGGTGGGAAAGAGAAAGAGAAACATCAACATGAAAGGGACACATTGAGTGGCTGCCACCTGCACGATCCAACCAGGGCCGGGGACAAACTGCAACCAAGGTACATGCCTTTAGCAGGAACCGAACCTGGGTCGCTCTGGACCGCAGGCCGACGCTCCATCCGCTGAGCCAAACCGGCCAGGGCTATTAACCTTGATTGATAACTTTTGCAATGAAATTTTTATTTTTTTAGCTTTACACATTGGTCATTTATTTTTTAATATATATATATATATATTTTTTCATATATATATATTTTATCTTTATTGTTGAATGTATTACAGATGTCCCATTGACCCCCTACTCCCCACTCCCGTCCCCCTCCTGCCTTTCCCCACACTGTTGTTTGTGTCCATTGGTTATGCATATATGCATATAAGTTCTTTGGTTTATTTCTTCCCACCCCCAACCCCCCATCCCTTTGAGGTTTGTCAGTCTAGCAACCAATTTGTACTTCTTAATCTCTTCACCTTTTTCACCCATTCCTCCAACCCCCTCCCATCTGGCAACCAACAAAATGTTCTCTATATCTATGAGAATGTTTCTGTTCTGCTAGTTCATTTTGTTTGTAGATTCCATTGTTGATAGCTATGTATTTATTGCCATTTTATCTGTTTATATATTTTATCTTTTTCTTCAAGAAGATCCTTCAACATTTCATGTAGTAACGGTTTGGTGGTGATGAACTCCTTTAGCTTTTCCTTGTCTGGGAAACTCTTTATATGGCCATCAATTCTAAATGACAGCTTTGCAGGATAGAGTAATCTTGGTTGTAGGTTCTTGCTTTTCATCCCTCTGAATATTTCTTGCCACTCCCTTCTGGCCTGCAAAGTTTCTTTTGAGAAATCAGCTGACAGCCTTATGGGAGCTCCCTTGTCGGTAATTAACTGCTTTCTCTTGCTGCTTGTAAGATTCTCTCTTTGTCTTGAACCTTTTTCATTTTGATGATGATGTGTCTTTGGTGTGAGCCTCTTGGGGTTCATCTTGTTTGAGACTGTCTGTGCTTCCTGGACTTGTATGTTTGTTTCCTTCACCAAGTTAGGGAAGTTTTTCTGCCATTATTGTTTCAAATTGGTTTTTGATTTCTTGTTTTCTCCTCCTTCTGGCACGCCCATGATGCGAATGTTGGCATGCTTGAAGTTGTCCCAGAGGCTCCTTACACTATCCTCATTTTTTTGGATTCTTTTTTCTTTTTGCTGCTCTGATTGGGTGTTTTTTGTTTTTTTATATTCCAAATCAGTGGTTTGCTTCTTGGCTTTACCTACTCTGCTATTGAATTGTGTAAATTATTATTTATTTCAGTTAGTGCCTCCTTCATTTCTGACTGTGCATCCTCCATTTCTGACTGGTCCTTTTTTATGCTCTTGAGGCCCTCACTAAGTTCATTGAGGTTCTTACTAAGTTCATTGAGCATCCTTATAAGCAGTATTTTGAACTCTGCATCTGTTAGCTTGCTTAACTCCATTTCGCTTAGTTCTTTTCCTGGAGTTTTATTCTGTTCTTTCATTTGGGGCCTGTTTCTTGTTTTTTTTTTTTTTATCCTCACCCGAGGACATTTTTGCATTTTTTTATTCAGACATAGCGGGAGGGAGAGAGAGGAAGAGAGAGAGAGAGAAACATCGATGTGAAGGGACACATCGAGTGATTGCTACCTGCACGACCAACCAGGGCCAGGGACAAACTGCAACCGGGGTACATGCCCTTAGCGGGAACCGAACCCGGGTCTCTCTGTACCGCAGGCCGACGCTCTAACCACTGAGCAAAACTGGCCAGGGCTGGGGCCTGTTTCTTTGTCTCCTCATTTTGGCTGCCTCCCTGTGTTTGTTTCTGTGTATTACTTAATGAGAGGTATGGGGCTAGCTGAGAGCAGATGCGCTTGTTTGAAAGAATTTAGGAAAACTTGAAGCAGGATCCAAGACAGGCCAATCCTATGGTAAAGCAACTGGCAACAGCTTGGGTGGGCCTGAAAGTTGGGTGGGGCGGGGCCTCAGGGAATCACCAACGTGGGGCAACCAGTGTGAGCAAGGTTGTTGGAGTCCCAGATACGGTGGCTGTCTGCTGCCCCATGGAAGGGCTCACCAAAGGAACAAAGGCCTCTGACAGCACATCTGTCCAGGAGAAAGCCCCCCTTTCCAGTCCTCACTCCAGTGCTAAACAGCTCAGTTCTTCCCTGTATGTCTCTGGCGCCCCTCGAGCTGCCTCCCCTCCAAGCTGAGAGGGAGAGAGTCCGATAAGTCCATGCGTGGGCTGTTAAGAGCAGCTGCCTGAGGCTCCAGATGCCTGTGCCTCCCTGAGCCTCAGTTCCCACTGGTTTTTCTAGCCAGAAGTGATGGGGACTTCTCTTCCTGGCACTGGAACCCTGAGTGGGGCGCCTGGTGTGGGACAGGGACCCCTCAGTCCTCAGGGAGGACCTTCCCAGACGAGGTATCCTCCTGATTTTTATCCACCACACGTGGGTGTGGGATCAGGTTGTCTGCCTCAGCCCCTCCTACCCATCTCGATGCGGCGGCTTCTTTAATTTTGTAGTTGTAGGACTTTCATTCAGCTTGATTTCAGGCAGTTCTGAATTATGGTTGTTCTGTAGTTTAGTTGTAATTTTGATGTGGTTGTGGGAGGAAGCGATACCACGTTTATCTACCCTGCCATCTTGACCGGAAGTCACATTGGTCATTCTTAGTAGCACTATAAAATAGTTATTTTGAATTCTCAGCGCAAAAACATTATTATACTCTTAAAATTTCTGAATTTATTCTGAGGTCTTTCGGAGAGGCTCCCTCAAAAACCTGGGAAGTACTTCTGAATTTTTAGTAGATATGCTGAATAGTTGTGATATTAGACTATGATTTTCCTTAAGCCTTTTAGTAGGCTTTAATAGAATCGCTAATGTTAGCACCATTACAAATTCTGTCTTACTGCTGCAGTGAGTTTGAAAGTCTTGAATAATGTTGTTATGAGATCGACTTCCCAGAATCCATAATAGTCCCTGAATACATAAATATAATATTTATAAATCTATAATATTTAGTCTTCCCAGATTAAATCGATGTGGTAACCTGGCAGGTGGAAATGTAACTATTCTGGAATGCCAACCCTCTGCAATTGCCTACCAGTATACTACTTGTTTTTTGACTGATGTATTTTAAAAAATGTTTTGTTTATTTCTTTAGGGCAACAAAGTCTTAAATTTCTTATATCTCTCTTCCTAGAGCTTCCCCCGGCCCCTCATCATAGAGCATTGGGTATAAAAAATGAAATCCTTCCGTTTTAAAAAGTATCTGTGGTTGCTTGTTTGTTGGACAGTCATTTCTTCCCATTTGCAGTTTACTGACTACAGCTTTAGGTCTGCAGCTGTAATAATGATCTGAGTTTAGATAGTTGAAGGTTGTATATTTGTTCCCTTCTACGTGCATAGCCAGTATTTTGACTTTCATGACCAATTTTCATTTGAATTTCAAAGAAATAATTTGACTTAATTTATTGTTAGAAACAAAATAATAACCACTGCAACAGCAGCACTGTGCTAGGAAAAAGTATGTTTCTCTATTAGTTTCTTGTTCTAGTGCTCCACTTAAAAGTTGATCTATCATTTAAAAATACTATTTGAGAACCTGTAGGTCTTCATATTAAGCATGACCCCAAAAAGTATTCAGAAAAATGGTGTTTAATGAAAATTAAACATTTAAAAAATTATTATTCTTTTTTTACTTCAAATGACTCAACCTCTTTTAAAAAGCCAAAGGGCTTATTAAGCTCCAGTTGTCTCTGAAGATGGAGTGCTGTTTCTGAATATGTAAGAATAAGATCCTGTTTTGGATTATGTATTTCCTTTAGCATTGCTGTTGCATTCTGTTATGTTAGGATTGAGAAGAGGTAACTGTTATTAAAGTTCTTATCTGAAACATTTATAATAAACTAGAAATACATAGCAGCAAAATAGCACATTTAATTTTTATTTTAAACACAAAAGTTGTGGATTCATTACAGCTGACTTACTAAATTAACAAACTTATTTGAACAGAAAAAAAGGGTAATTCATTTGGTTACCTGAAATTAGACTGATGTCTATTTGGAATGTATTTTATTTGTTCTGTAGATGTTAAGAAATGTGGAGAAAAACTTGTGTCCAGAGCTTAATAAGCAAGATATTATCACCTAAACTACACGTTATAACCTTGCTAAATATGTTTGTGTGCTAATAATTACAGATAGCATAATTAATGTTGTTTAGCAGATAATTGATCTATTGTATCTTATATTTTAATATATATATATATATATTTTTTTTTTTTTTTTGTGGTACGTGTCCCTAGCAGGAACCGAACCTGGGACTCTCTGGTCCAAAGGCCGGTGCTCAACCACTGAGCCAAACTGGCTAGGGCTATATTTTAATATCTTATATGCAATACTACCAAGCTGTGGAATGAAATTGGAAACCATTTCAAAATGGGACATTTTCCTATAGTGTACCTAGTAATATACTGATGAATCCTAGAATGTGTTTTGTCTTACTTTAGTTTTTATGATAATAAAAGAAGATATAGTTGTAAGGTTTTCTACTGTAATTCTAAACAAGAATTTGGGTTCATTATAATTTATTCCTCTTGGTTTTACCTGGAATAAAAATATACTTCAACCCTTCTATATTTGTTAATTTAATATTTCATGTTTCATATAGTTTTGGAACTCAAGGTAGTTACTAAATACTTAATATTATATTAATGGGAAACAGTTCTAAAACAGGACATTTAAGTTTTTTGTTGTTAATGAAAAGTAACTGCACTATAGTTATTCAGGTAGCAATTGATGAAGTGTGCTAGTGTTTTCAATATATTCCTTATTTTTATTACAGATCTCCACAGGATAAAAGAATACTTCTTGTGAATTGTCAGAATAAGAGTCTTTCACAGTCTTTTGAAAATCTTCTTGATGAACCAGCATATGGTTTAATACAAGTATGTTTCTTAAATCTATTTTGTATTATTAATCTGTTAAACTGTCCCCATTATTTTGTATACTCCTACTTCTCAACTTTCTCAGATAATACAGAATAAGGCACATGTCTCTCTGTGTATAAACTTTATAAAACTCTTTGTAATTTTATAGAAGTAATAGTACGTTTTATATTATTTGTTAGACTCGGAAGCTTCCTTGGTTCTTAGTTATTCTTAAGACATTTTTTTCCTTTATAATAATACTGAAATTGGACATCAGTAAATTTTTTATTACCATAGCTGTCATTGATTAGGTAAAAGATCACTGTATAAGCCACTTTGAATTAATAAACTTAGGCAAAAATCTGGTTTTAATTTTTATTTTCCATTTAAGTAGGTTTTAATTCCATTTAAAGTATGTGAGTATATTCTTGCATTTGGCTGAAAATGTGCACCTAACACAAAGTTAGTTTATTTTTCACTCAGATTTCTATGTAAACTAATGAGATGGTTGTTTATTTATTCATTTGTTTACTTATGCATTCAACAAATGTTTGAGTGGTTACTTCGTCCCAGAAGGAAGGTAAGAGAGCTAAACACTGATTAAAATAAAAAGCTAGGGCCCTGGCCAGGTGGGTCAGTTTATTGGAGCGTCGTCCCATGCTCCAAAAGGTTTTGGGTTTGATTCCTGATCAGGGCATATACTTAGGTTGCGGATTCAACTCCATTTGGGGTGGATGTGGGGTGGCAATGAAGTTGCTGTCTCACATTGATGTTTCTCTTTTTCTCCCCCTTCCTCTCTCTCTCAAATTCAATAAAAACAAATCCTCAGGTGAGGATTAAAAGAAAAATAGTGAGGGAACAAAGATTGACTTTAAAGAAGTAACTAATGTACCCTGGCCGGTTTGGCTCAGCGATTAGAGCATCAGCCTGGGGACCAGATAGTCCCGGGTTTGGTTCCCGCTAAGGGCATGTACCTCAGTGGCAGTTTGTCCCTGCCCCCGGTTGGGGTCATGTGGGTGGCAGCCACTCAATGTGTCTCTCTCACGTCGATGTTTCTCTCTCTCTCTCTCTCTTCCTCCTTTTCTCCCTCCTTCTCCATTTGAAGATAAATGCAAAAAATGTCCTCAGGTGAGGATAAAAAAAAAAAGTAACTAATTTGCTAAATATGAATAATCAAGCAGTTTGGGATTTAGAAGTAACCCTAGCAGTAGAAAAACCTTTTGCTGTTTTCTAGGACAGCACTGCCCAGAACAAACCTTTTTTATTGGCATGATTTACTTATCACATAATTAGATTAAACTGTCTGCTAATTATTTAAATATTATGAGCTATTAAATATGTTTTTATTGATTTTTTTTAAGAGATGGGGAGAGAGAGATAGAAACATCGATGTGAGGGAGATACATCCATTGGCTGCCTCCCACATGACCCCTACCAGGGATTGAGCCTGCAACCCCCGGGGACTGAGCCCACAACCTGAGCATGTGCCCTGACTGGGAATCGAACCAGGACTTCTCAGTCCATGGGACGATGCTCATTCCACTGAACCACACCAGCCAGGCAATACTGTGAGATTTTAAACTTAGACTAGTGTAGCACTGCACACTTCAAGAAATATATTTTTTTTGTGAAGGCAGGACTGCTAGACAGAAGAAAGCTGTTGTGGGCCATTCACCAATGGAAAGTAAGCACTGCATATATTTCTGATGTGCAGATTGACTGAAGCCTGCAAATCATGTGTTTATCTGCAGTTCAATCATTAGCATTAATTTGCCATATATATACTATTTTAACCAAATGATGAAAACTTGACTTAGAAAATGAAAAATTTTCTTCTCAGAAAAAAAATAAAATTATAAGATAATCTTAGAATACTGTTTTAGTTCTGATTCCCCTCCCTTTAAAAAAACTTTGCCTTTTTCCCCATCATGAAGTATTTTTATTTTTTATTTGAATTAATGCTAATATTTTTCTTTCTACTACATAGAAAATTAAAAAGGATCCTTATACAGCAACTATGGTAGGATTTTCCAAAGTCACAAACTACATTTTTGATAGTTTGAGAGGCGGTGATACCTCTACACATCAACGACCACCTTCAGAAATGGCAGATTTTCTTAGTGATGCTATTCCAGGTTTAAAGATTAATCAACAAGAAGAACCAGGATTTGAAGTCATCACAAGAGTGAGTGGAGATTTTATATTAATAAAGCTCTTATATTTTAACAGGGGGGATGCTTTTAAACATGTATGAATGCTATAGAAATAGAAACTTAATTTTGGTTATACCTGCCTCTTTGTCATAATTCTTTCTTAGAACTTTTTGCTAACATATCTAACAACTAACACTTGTCTTGCCACCAAATTGTTCTTCATTGATTACTACGTATACTTTCTGTTCATTAATGTTGGATTTCTTTTCTTTGATTACCTTTATTTTACTATTATAATTGTTATTGTTAATCTCTTACTATGCCTAATTTATTAATTGAGCTTTAGCATTGCTATATAAGTAAAGGAAGAACAATATACATAGGGTTCAGTACTATCTGCGATTTCAGGCATCCACTGGAAGTCATGGCACCTAGCGCTCACAGATAAAGGGGGGGCTGCTTTATACTGAAAACTATGCCAGTGAGTTCAGGTAGTCAAAAAATTATTAAAAACAAACCCAAATATTAGTAGTACCCTTTAAAGTAATTCTGGTGTTCATATTTAATATCATCTAACTTTTTTTTTTTTAACATTTTTTCTTTATTGATTTTAGAGAGAGAGGAAGGGAGAGTGAGAGAGAGATAGGTACATTGATGAGAAAGAACATGCTTCCCACTGGGGATCGGGTTTATGACCTGGGCATATGCCCTCACCTGGATTAAACTGGTAGCCTCTTGGTGCATGGGTCGACGCTCAACCACTGAGCCACACCGGCTGAGCATCATTTAACTTTTCTACATATGAATCATTGGAGTTGTAGTACATCACATCATATTTAAAAACAACTATTTATAAAATTTTTCTTTCCTAGAAATAGCCTCTAAATTTTTAGGTTCACCCCAAAGTGTTCCTAAAAGATCTCTTTCGGTCTGTAATGCCTCCTGGAAATAAAGCTTCTTTGCCTGAAGAAACAGATTTTTTCAAAGCTCTAATTATTTCCGGTGACACTTTCATAAACTACATTAGGCACTCTTGTGCTGCTTCTCGATATTTAGTTTCATCTGAAGACTGACTGTAAGTCCTCCATGACCATTTCTAAGTTGAAAGCATGTTTTGAATCCAATTTGAGGGCCCCACTTAACACTTTGAGAGCTTGTCTATTGCTGATAATTTTAGCCAGCCTTAGCCCTGTCCCAGCTTGGTATTTTACCCATCTCCTTGTGAACAAATCTGATCTAACTCTCTCTAGTCATTAATCTGAAACCACATGTTATAATAAATTCTGCTCCTCCACCCAATGTCCAGCCTTGATACAGTGCAACACTTTTTAATGGAAATCTCATATCTTATTAAGGTTGTTTGCACGAACATACATAAGGCCACTCCATCCTCTGGAGTTCCTAGTGCTTTCAGCAGTATTCAGATCAAATTCTGAGGAGAAAGTATTTTTTGCCCGACAAGCAATGAAACCTTTCTCCTTTGTCCAGTTTTCCAGTTTAGTCACTTTTCCCACAAGTTGTAGCATCATAACATCTGAGATGTCATTCCTTTTACTTGGATTGTTCAGAGTAAGAAAGGCAGTGCCATTGTCTTCCTTCTGAAGGTCAGTGACTCCACCAGGAAACTGCTGAAGTTTTCTTTGTACTTCATCCTCATGGAAACCACCAGGTGTATATAAAATGACAATCCCTCTTTGATTTAGCAAATTTGTTCTTATAGATGATGTCTTCAAAAGACTTCTTGCCATTTCCTGTTTGGACTCCATTCCTCTTTGCAAGCTGGTTTCTCTTACTGGAATGATCTGATTACCTTTTGATAATAACGAGCAGGTTATTTGTTCCATTGAATGCATAGCATTGAGTAAAATAGTGACTCTAGAGTATTACTTCTGGTTTTGTTCCTAATTTGTATGTTTTCTTAGTAGGCACCAGCAGCAGCCAACCAGGACACTACTACTCTAAGGCTTTATTATTATGGGAATCTTTTTTTTTTTTAAATTCTCACCCAAGGATATTTTTTTGTTTATCTTCAGATAGAGTGGGGAGGGATGGGGAGAGAGAGGAACATCAGTGTAGGAGGGACACATCAACTGGTTGCCCCCCGCACGACCCGACCAGGGCCTAACTGCTACTGAGGTACGTGCCCTTGACTGGAATCAAACCCGAGACTCATTGATCTGCAGGCTGATGCTCTAACTGCTGAACCAAACTGGCCAGGGTGGTTTGGCTCAGCAGTTATTTTTAAAATAAGATAGACTGCCTGGCCAGTGTGGCTCAGGGGCTTGTGTGTCATCCCAAGGACTGAGAGGTCCCAGTTCAATTCCCGCTCAGGGCACATGCTTGGGTTGCACGTTTGATCCTTAGTGGGGGGGCGTGCAGGAGGTAACCAATTGATGATTCTTTCTCACATCGATGTTTCTTTCTCTCTAAAAAAATCAGTTAAAAAAAAGTTGGACTTCGGCCCTGAATTATGGCAAATCTTTATATATATGTTCAACCACACTTATGAATTTGCTACAGTGCTAGTAGTTAGAACATTATAAATATCTAAATTGTGGTACTTAATTAAAGGGCTTATCTTGCAAATGGCATTTTAAAATTACCAACATCCGTTAATTGAATTAAAAACTGGAAAATACCAAGTGGAGCTAATGGATCATGAATCACTTCTGAGGGTTACAAATTTTAGTTTAGAAGAAAAACTAATTTTAGAATATGATTAATGGAATAATACCGTTTTTTAAATAATACAGCATACCATTTAGTTTGAAAGGTTTCTTATAGGAATTTACATGTTAACTGTTCTGCATTTATGTAATTGAAACCCAAAATAGAAAATGCCCACCCATCCCAGAATTTATAATCCAATTATATGTGTGTTTAGTAGGGGAAATGTATGGAATGTTAACTATTTAGTTCATAAACTAAATATTGGAAAATAAGGGAAGATATTAAAAATATTAGAACAGTGTTTAATACAATTACTTGAGTAATTGTATTTTAGTTTAACTTTCTATATACGTTAATTTCATTTACTGGTTAACAGTGTACTTCTTTTTGCTTATCTTCTTATTTCAGATTGATTTGGGAGCACGACCTGCTGTTCAAAGGAGAGAGCCAGTGTCACTGGAAGAATGGACTAAGAACACTGATTCCGAAGGAAGAATTTTAGATGTAGATAATATGAAGCAGATGATATTTAGAGGGGTAAATACTTTAATATGGATTATATTTTAAATTGCTGGTATTCAAGTTTTCTTTTTCTTTTTTGGGGGAGAGGAGGAGGAAGGGAATTCTTTTGGATGAATGATACTTTAAAATTCCTATAGGACAGAGTGAGATGCTTGTGATGTCCCTGATGTTAGCTGTGACACCATTAAGTTTAGGGAAAGATATTTTTCCTTACTTGAAGTTGTATGGGTTATGTGAAGAAGACATGTATGTGGCCCAGTGGTGGTTGTGTTATCCAGTAATGACTGGGCTTTGAAAGACTAATCAATCCCACTGTCTGCCATACAGTCTATTGTATACTCTGCATTGTTTTAAAGCTTTCTGGCAGCTGTTTATATTTTTAGAATCTAGAAGTAAAAAACAAGATAGTATTTTCTGAATTGAACTGTTTTTTAAAAAAATATGTTTATATTGATTTCAGAGAGAGGAAGAGAGAGGGAGAGAGAGAAACATTGATATGAGAGAGAAATATCCATAAGCTGCCTCCTGCATGCCTCAGACTCAGGATTGAGTCTGAAACTCAGGCATGTGCCCTGATCGTAACTAGAACCCATGACCTCCTGGTGATGGGTCAATGCTTAACCAACTGAGCCACACCAGCCAGACATAATCGAGATATTTTTATGTATGAAACTCTCTCTTAAATACTGGTCTTCCTGTTTATTTAAATGCAAGTTTTGTGAACTTAAACTATTGCATTCTTTTTTATGAATGTGTTTAATACGCATGTTTTCTTCAGGGACTTAGTCATGCATTGAGAAAGGAAGCATGGAAATTTCTTCTGGGTTACTTTCCTTGGGACAGTACCAAGGAGGGAAGATCTCATTTACGAAAACAAAAAACGTAAGTAATTATCTTTTGTATGTTCATCCAAGAAATTTACCATGCAATTTAGTAAAGGGTTTCTAGACGACTATTTGAAATATATAGACTAGTATATGGGAAAATAATTTTATTTTTATCTTTGTCTTTCCCTCTCTTTATTGATTTTAGAGAGAGAGGAAGGGAGAGGGAGAGAGATAGAAACATCAATGATGAGAGAACATCGTTTGGTTGCCTTCTGCATGCCCCTCACTGGGGACCAGGCCTGCAACCTGGGCACGTGCCCTGCCCTGACCGGGAATTGAACTGGCCACCTCTCTGTGCATAGGTTGATGCTCAATCACTGAGCCACATCAGCTGGGCTATTTTTATCTTTTTGATTTAAAAATAGACACCAGCATGGGAGTGTGAGGGAGGCCACGGATTATGTTTAGAGGTATCTTTGCCTCCACTCAGCAGACACCATGAGCAAAGTTTACACTCTCCTGTTTAAAAAACTTATGGACAAGAAGTTATCATTGAAATTACATGGTGGCAGACATATCCAAGAAATATTGCAGGAATATGATCCCTTTATGAATCTTGTGATAGATAAATGTCTAGAGATGGCAACAGAACAATATTGGAATGGTGGTAATACAAGGAAATAGCATCATCTTGTTAGAAGCCTCAGAATGAGTATAAAGAATGGTTGTGTTCATCAGAGAAATTAACTCTTCCACATGTCCCCCTCCACAGCACCATTTACTACAATATAAACATTGAGTTGTATGCATTTTCTTATCAAACTTCTGTTAAATAAACTTTATATAGTCAAAAAAATATTACGAGCACTATAGTTATTTCAAACCAGAAACATTTATTAGAAGGACCTCATTGCAGTTAGACTGGTGAATATGTAGAAAGATGGTAAAAAATATTTTAGTCCCCTAGTACAAACATTTTGAATACTTGAAAAATAACTAATTAGATTTGGATTTAAAAATATATCTCATTTATCTTGATTTATTTTTGCAATTTATGATGAGATTATAAAATGACTCATAAGAAGTATATTTGCTATTTAGGTTAATTAACCTTTAAGTAATTTTTCTGTGCTCTTGTAACATAAACTGATCTTTCATTTTTGTTTTGGAAGAGTGTTTCTGTTTTTAAATAATATCTCAGATTTGAAAAGAAACACAGAACAACTTTCCAGGTATACTCTTATTCCCACTTTATCAGTTTAGTCTTTAATTTAAAGCTCACTCCTAATCGTTATGTATGTATTCGAACTCTCAAACAGTTGTTTCTCTTTTCGATACTTTTGCCAGTTTCTCTAAGACATTTTCACATTAACAAGTTTATGCAGTAAACTCATTGTCACATTTTTTAAAAGTCTGTAGATTTGTATTTGTAATTATTTAGAACCTTTCACAGTTAAAATATTTAATGACTGGAATAATTTTAGATATGATAGTAAGGATTAAGGCAAATGTTTTCTTACAATCATACCTAAATTATTCTAGTAGTTTAAACAAAGTTTATGACATGTCTAAGATTGTTTTATTTTTCCTTTGTTTTTATAACTTTAAATATTTCAGTATCATATTTATGAACTTGCATCTTACTAGCATTGTAAACGCTTTGATAAATTGTAGAAAAGCTCAATTAAAATTTTTAAGTAAAATGTTCAAAGTAAACTGTTTTGGGTATAAAATTGTTTTCTATAGTGATGAATACTTCAGGATGAAACTGCAGTGGAAATCTGTCAGTGAAGAACAAGAGAAGAGAAATTCGAGGTTAAGAGATTATAGAAGTCTTATTGGTAATTTTTTCTTGATTTTGGAAGTACACGAGATAGGTTTACATTGCCATCTTGACAAAATTTAAGAAATGAATATATATGCTATAGAATTGGGGCTCAAAAGAAATCAGAATTTGAGAGTACATTAGAATGTGTGTTTATTATTCTTGGTTGTTCTTCAAGTAGGTATATGAATTCAGACAGTATAATTATAAATACTGATATATTTCATTTTTTAATTTCAAAATGTGAATTAGTAAAGAGTATTTAACTTTATTTGCTTGTTGAATTAATTGCATTGAAAGTTATTGTACTCCTTATTTCCAAAACAGTTAGTTTTGTGGAAACTATTAATTTTGTGGAAAAATTAGGAACTATAGATGAGCAAAAATAAAATAAAAGTTAGTTTGTTTCTGTCATCCGAGATAACTTTGTTTAAATAAGCTTTGGTTTATATCCCTGAAGAACTCTAAATATGTATATATACATATATATATTTAATTTAAACAAATGACTCCAGATAGATAGTAAATTTTTGTCAATTTTTGCAAATTGAATAACTGTTCCCTAAAAAAAGAGATGCAAGAATTTTACACTAAGAGAGTTAGACTTATTTCCAAATAATGAGTACTGGGTTTTCTGGCTCTTACGATAAAGGCCAGGTTGTATAAGTGATTGAAGGAATGCATAGTTATTGCTGTACATACCTTACCTGACAAATTTCAGTTCATAGTCTCCATTTTACAGATAAGAAAACTGAAGCCCTGAGAGCATAAATGACTTGCCAAAGTTACATGGTTTATAAGGGCAGTACCCAGTTTTAATGTTCTTTACTATCTTGTTACCTTGCCTCTATCTAATTTTAGGATAGCTTTGGATAGTAGTGGAACTTATTTCTTTAATTCTTTTTTTTTTTTTTTTTAAATCCTCACCGGAGGACAGTTTTCCATATTTTGTTCAGATAGAGTGGGAGGGAGAGAGAGAGAGAGAAACATCGATGTGAAAGGGACACATCGACTGGCTGCCACCCACACGACCCAACCAGGGCCGGGGACAAACTGCAGCCAAGGTACATGCCCTTAGCGGGAACCGAACACGGGTCTCTCTGGACCGCAGACCGACACTCTAACCGCTTAGCCAAACCGGTCAGGGCTAATTCTTATATTGTATTGGGGTTTGTTTATCTGTAGCTTCATGAAAGAGGTTAAGGGGATGTTTTTACCACCATGTTTAACACCACCATCCCATGGAAGAAAATAATCCCTTTTTAAGAGCCCAGCATAGACTGATTTGGCCGTTTGGGAGCTCATAATAACAAAAGCTGAGATATTTTTAAATATGTTTTTTTCTTTATTGATTTTAGAAAGAGAGGAAGGGAGAGGGAGAGAAAGAGAAAGAAACATCAATGAGAGAGAACACTGATTGGCCGCCTCCTGAATGCCCCCCACTGGGGATTGTGTCTACAACCTGGGCATGTGCCCTGAGCAGGAATCAAACCGGTGACCTCTTGGTGCATGGGTTGACACTCAACCACTGAGCCACACCTGCTGGGCAAAAGCTGAGATCTTTTTAGCAATAGTGGGTTTGATTGAAAAATAACTTTATTTTTCTAAAAAATAAGTTATATCAGAATAAACTGTCCTTCCTCTTGCTAAGGAAAAAAGTTGGGGATCTTGAGGTATAGGGTGATCTGAAGTTGCCAACTGAAGCCCTCTGCTATTCTCACTTTCAGTAAGGAAAATGATAATGGACTGTTTTTTTCCTGCTTAGACATAAAATACTTGAAGTGGAAGAGATCTTAGAGATTAACTGATACAGTATTTAAGCCTTTTCTTTCCATGTGTCAGATCTTCTTCCCTTTTTATCAAGCAACAGTGATGATGGCTCTGATCGTCTCAATCTTTCTTGTGTCCTGTTCTCACTCTTTCTAGGAGATTGGAGGACAATTTAGATGTTTTAAATCCCCATAATATAATTTGAATTGAGATATACTTTAGTCTAAATTTCTCTCTTTTTTTTTTTTTTTTTTAGCAGATAATAAAATTAAGTGCAGAAAAGGTTAGTAAATTGTCTTTAGTCATCTATCTAGTTAGTTCCATAGCCCAGATTCATTCACAGTCAGATTTAATTCTTAAGAAAGTGACCTCTCAACTATACCATGCTTTCTAGAAGTATATATAACTGGGTTTTAAAGCATTCTTTTTTTTAAAAAATATATATATCTCCTCACCCGAGGACATTTTTTTTTTCTTTCTTTTTTTTTTATCCTCACCCGAGGATATTTTTCCATTTTTTGTACAGATAGAGTGGGAGGGAGAGAGAGGAAGGGAGAGAGAGAGAGAGAGAAACATCGATGTGAAGGGACACATCGAGTGGCTGCCACCCGCACGACCAACCAGGGCCGGGGACAAACTGCAACCGAAGTACGTGCCCTTAGCGGGAACCGAACCCGGGTCTCTCCGGACCGCAGGCCGACGTTCTAACTGCTGAGCCAAACTGGCCAGGGCCCGAGGACATTTTTCTATTTTTTTTGTTCAGATAGAGAAACATCACGTGAAAGGGACACATCGAGTGGCTGCCACCCGCATGACCCAGCCAGGGCCGGGGACAAACTGCAACCGAGGTACATGCCCTTAGGGGAACCGAACCTGGGTCTCTCTGGACCGCAGGCCAACACTCTAACCGCTAAGCCAAACTGGCCAGGGCTATTTTTTTTTTTTGATCCTCACCTGAGGATATGTTTCCATTTATCTTCAGGTAGAGTGGAAGGGAGGAAGAGAGAGAGAGAAACACTGAAGTGAGAGGGCTACATCAGCTGGTTGCCTCCCGTACAACCTGACCAGGGCCTTATTGGGGACTAAGCGAAACCTAGGTACATGCCCTTGACTGGAATTGAACCTGCGACTCATTGGTTTGCAGGCTGATGCTCTAACCGCTTAGCCAAACCAGCCAGGGCTTAACAAAGATATTTTTTCCCTTTATTGATTTGAGAGAGAGAAGAAGGAAGAGGGAGAGAGAGATAGATACATCAATGAGAGAGAACATCGACTGGCTGCTTTCTGTATGCTCCCCCCCTCCCCCCACTGGGGATTGGGCCCACAACCTGGACATGTGTCCTGACCGGGAATTGAACCGGCGACCTCCTGGTGCATGGGTCGACGCTCAACCAGTGAGCCACACCAGCTGGGCTTAAAAAATATTTTTAAGTTGAATTTTACAGAGACAGGAAGGGAGAGGGAGAGAGAAAAATTTATGTGAAAGTGAAACATCGATCGGAGCCTGCAACCTAGCTATGTGCCCTGACCAGGAACTGAACCAGCAACCCCTCGGTACTCAGGACGACACCCAGCCAACACTGGCCAGGGCAAAGCATTCTTTTTCTATAATACTTTTCTCCAAAATTATTTTTTAGGAAAGAGTACCAAAAGCCTTTTTCCCCCCTTTTTTGGCATACATTCACTTTATTAAAGAATATGCACAGGTAAGCTTTAGGCCTTGTGGATTGTGCCAAGAAGTTGGATTTTAAGTATGAAGAGAAACTATTGGAGCATTTTAAGTAAGACCATCTTATTTGTATTTTAAAGTACTTTTCTGTGTGGAAAATGGATTAAATCGAAGTTAAGAGTAAGAGAGACCAATTAGTAGAAATGACTCCAAGCAAGAGATAGTGGTTGCAGAAATGTGGAGAAATAGATGGATTTAAGTTATATTCTGGTGATAGAAATAATAGGACTTTTTGATTAAATGGAGTATGAAGGAGAAAAAGAGTAATCAAGGATGGGACTGCATTTCTTGACTTGAGAAATTGCGCATTTGGTGGTACCACTTATTGAGATGAGAATGGGACATGGTGAAATTAAATTAGGTGTTGACTATGTATACCTTAAAGTGAGACATAATAAATGTAATGTCAGGTGGCTAGTTGAATAATCTGGGTGAAATGTACAAGTTTGGGTATTATCAGTATAAATATCCATGGGGATAGATGTTACTTAGAGGAAAAAAAAGACAGATAAAAAGGCCCAGGAATGCCAGTCTTTAGAGCAGTGGTTCCTAACTTTGGCTGCACATTAGAATCATCAGGGATCTTTCTGAAAATCACATTGATTATTTTAAACATTCCTACATTCATTCAATATTTACTTAGTGCCTATTATGTAATAGGTTCTCCTCTAGGCATTGGGGATTAATTAGGGAATAAAACAGAAAATCAAGGAGGTTTTGTTCTGTGGGGAAGAACAGACAGTAAATGAGGTAAGTAAGTAACATATGTGGTATGTTAGTGATGAACTGTTAAATAGAAAAATAGGCAGGGAAGATGGTTAGGAAGTTTATGTGTTGTATTGATTTAAGTGGTGACCAGAAGAGACTTTTTTTGAAAAGGTAGTATTTGTGTGGAAACTCGAAAAAAGGGGATTGGTGAACTATGTAGATATCCAGGTGAAGGGCACTCCAAGCAGAAAGAAACATGTGTTAGACTTGTTTCCACACCAGAATGTTTGAAGTATAGTAGGGAGGTGAGGGTGGCTGGAGTGAGTTTTGTGGAGTAATAGAAACTGATGGGGTCGGAGAAGAAATGATGGATGTGGGAGAAGATAATGTGTTGGAAGCTTGAGAAGAAAGAAATTGTACAATAGTTAAATGAATATCGAGAGGGAATAGTAAGAAAGGTTAGTGGTGGTGAATGCAAAATGTGTTTAATTGGCATCATGGTGTTTTTCTTCAGTTTTTTTTAGCTACGTCAAGTTAGATGGAGGGTTGGATTTAATGGGGGCATTTTTTTTTTTTTTAAACTTAAGTACTCATTTTTTTTTCTAGAAATAGTTTCTGGAAACACTTCTCTTGTAAAATACCATTTTTGTTCATTTTTTGGTATTCTGCCTGGCAGAAATATACAAGGGGAAAAAGTATAGGTAGTTCATGAGGGTACAAATTACTTTTTTACTGTGTTTCAAACACCTGTTAAGTTCGATCATCTATAGTGGCATTATGACTATGTAAATTATGCTTACGTTAATAAAAAACTTGTTATATACCTCTTTCAACTGCGATATGAGACAAACATTTTGACATTTTTAAACAAAATTTTACATTTACAGCATTTTTTTTGGTATTTTCCTTATTTGTTTGAAAAATGTATTAACAATTCTATAGATACATAGTTTTAGTAACTCTAAAGTAGTGTATTTTAACAGAAAGCTAGAATATTGATCTAATAAATTAAAAAATGTTCTCAAAGTCACCACTATTGTTAGATTCTGCTCTGTTGTAGTATTACCTCCCCATCTCTTCATAACAAGTATTAAGGATGTTCGTAAAGTATTGAGTTTAAGTGGGTGTGGAAGTCAGTTATAACATTTAAACAGAATTGGTTATAGAGTACATTAATCATTTTGAGTTTAAAAATTTTTCTAATATACTGAGGGATTTAAGTTAGAGAAATGCCCTTTTTAGTTGTAAAGTCTTTCCTAAGATGCATTTAATAGGTTTGTGAATTGAATTGTCAGTGTAACTTGGAATAGTCTTCCAGTGATGTTTCCAAATCTATTTTGAATGTTATGAAATCATTTTCAGCAAAATGTGGATTTTCATTTTTTAAAAATTGAAATAAATTGCTTATACTAATTAATATATAAGCTAAATAATGTATGTATGAAAATAAGGAAGTAACTTGTCCTGAAAATTATTATGGAACATGACAAAGAAATTTATATTCTCATAATGAATGAAGCAAATACAAATGAAACACATCTCTTTGATTACAGTTGATTGCATAGTAGCTTTTTTTCATTACTATTTTCAGATAGTACTGCCTAATCACAATCATTCAGGACTGGCATTTTTATTGCTAACGTGAATTATTAGTGTTACTTTTAATTAATGGAAGTATTGCCTATTATTCAGTTAAATGGTTTCTGTGTTTAAATAATAATAAAAAATATTTAAAAATATACCCACGAAGAGGTAGACTGATTGAAAAAAAAAATTATTCCAAATGCTACTTTATTGCATATCTGAAGTGGAATTTGATTAATTAGTTTTATTAAGTAAAGTCTTGGCAAGAGTAAAATTAATGGCAAGAGAAATAATCTTGTGTTTAAAAGGTGAGCTTTATAAAAATCTGTTTTTTTTTGAAAAAAGGTTTTCAAATATTTGATGATTTTTCTCCTCAGAAAAAGATGTTAACAGAACAGATCGAACAAACAAGTTTTATGAAGGCCAAGATAATCCAGGGTTAATTTTGCTTCATGACATTTTGATGACCTACTGTATGTATGATTTTGATTTAGGTAAGTTGTCCTCTAATATTCTAATTTAAAAAGATTTATATATATTTATTTTTAAATTTCAGTTTGTTAACCTGTTATATGTATGTAATAGTTCTGGCATAGTTTTTATAGGGATTGTTCTATAGGGAACTGTAAACTTATAAGGCTATGGCTCCCAAATTATGTACCGAGGAGCACTGTGTTGTCATAGCTAACTTAACGGGGACAATGTGGGATATTTTAAACTTTTGCGGGAAATATAGTGACATCTGTATGGACAGTGCTCTACTAGCTGAAATAGTTCAGGATTTCAGCATTAGATTGCCACATTACTTCTGATGAAATTATATCTTTTTTTAAAAGATTTTTTAAATTGATTTTTAGAGAGAGAGGAAGGGAGAGGGAGAGAGAAAAACAGTGATGTGAGAGTAAAACATCAGTCAGCTGCCTCCTGCAACACCTCCTACTGAGGTTTGAGCCTGCAACCCAGGCATGTGTCCTGACTAGGAATTGAACAACTGGAGACCTTTTGAACAACGCCCATCCTACTGAGCGATACCCACCAGGATTGAAGTTATATTTTTGCAGACTGTTTTTGGCTTTGCTGTGATAAGCAAGTACTGCTGAAAATTGATGAGGAACAGGAATGAGGAATTGAGAAGGGGGGTTGTGCCCAATGGGTGTTAAATTCATAGAACATAAATACTTAAGTTGTTTGATCTAACTGCTTAATAAATGGAAATAATAGTTATTTCTTTGAGCCTAGGGGTGCCTTGGAAAAAAATGAGACATTAAGGATTCTGTGAAGTGAGAAAGTTTTGGAACCTTTGTTTGATATACTTTCTCCCTTGTTAAGGAACATGCTGATTTGATATATTTATTACACAGGCAGTGCATTTAATTATATAGGGCATGTAGAACTTTACTTTAAAGATTGGGGATTGGCCCTGGCCAGTTTGGTTCAGCGGTTAGAGCGTCGGCCTGCAGTTCACAGAGACCCAGGTTTGGTTCCCGCTAAGGGCATGTACCTCGGCTGCAGTCTGTCCCTGGCCCTGGCTGGGTCGTGCGGGTGGCAGCCACTCGATTTGTCCCTTTTCACGTCAATGTTTCTCTCTCTCTCTCTCTCCTTCCCGCTCTATCTGAATAAAAAATGGAAAAATGTCCTTGAGTAAGGATTAAATAAACAAACAAACAAACAAATAAATAAATAAAAATAAAGATTGGGGATTGATGGCCAGCCAGTGTGGCTCAATGGTTGAGCATTGACTCATGCACCAAGAGGTCACTGGTTTGATTCCTGGTCAGAGCACATGCCTAGGAGGCAACCAGTCGATGTTCTCTCTTATCGATGCTTCTCTCTCTCTCTCCCTCTCCCTTCCTCTTTCTCTCAAATCAATAAAGAAAAAATAAAGACTGGGCTGGAGGTGGAATTTGGGAATCGCATGGGGAAAAGATGCTAAGGGATAGAAAACCTAAGGGACCAATATTTTATGGGGCAAGAGAACTTTAGTTGTTTTTTAATGGACCAACAAATTCCCTAAGCATCAACCTTTAAGTAAGTATAAGCAGTGCAAAGTTTCTGAGTTACCTACCATGTGTGGGACTCCCAAGTAGAGGATAGTGGAAATAGGTGTTTTCCAGGTTACTTTAATATAGCTAGAGACATCTTTTGGAGAATGTCATTGGATATTCGGCATATTAAACCCAAATTAACCTTGAATTATGGGTATATTTTATTCACCATTTGTATCTATGTGAATTCCTCTTGGCTTCTTATATGTATTAGGGGAAGATGTAAACTGTTTAGTGGATCTTGAGGTATTAGCCTCTTTGGTGACAGTAAGTTGAAAATCTCAGATTTCTCTTTAAATTTTGGCCAGTCCTATCTGTCACACCTATAATGAGTTCAGATTGAATCATTGAAACCATATTGGTAGAATGCTTTTTAGGTTACAGAGTACTGTCATACTTGATTTAGATTTAGATTTAGATTTGGATTCTGAAAGCAGCCTTTTGAAGAAGTGGGGAAATAATGCCTACTTTATGCATAAAGTTATATTGATTCAGAAAGTGATTCAAGGTTGCACAGTAGTAAATATTGGACGAGGATGGAGACACAGGTCCTTCAGGCTGGCATTCTTGACACTAATACATTCAGCACTCCAGCTCTTTGCCATTTTGGTTTCTGTTACCACTATAGGGAATAGACACATGGTCCTAGGGAGCAAGAGGCATTGTCTCGAACTCTTAGGTGATCATTTTGAGATAGGAATTTATTCATATTCTCAGAAGGAGTTCCTGAATGCTCAGATTTTCTTTCAGAGTATAGGCTCAGACCAGCTAACTGGATAAATTACTCTTAATTTGTCTGTATTAACCCCACGTTCTTTCTAGTCAAATACTTAAGTTATCTGAAACATAGCCAAGCTTTCCATTAAGAACTCTGGCCTTTTGAGAAGCCAAGGTAGTTTTCATAAAGCAGTGGGCCACATTTTTTGCCTTTTACTCATAGCAAAGGAACTTGGGCTGTAAATTTACTCTTATAGGTGATTCTGTCATATTTAGTTGTTTGGCTTCTTAGCTCATAGATTAGGTAGGTATAGGTTTATTTGTATTGAATATAATCTTTTTAATAGTGAGGAAGTGGACAAAAATTATCAAAAGAAGACAGAAGACAAAAATGACCGACAACAGATAGAAAAACCTCAGGGAGGACCAATTTTTAGTTAGTTCAAAGACCCCACACCTAGGACATGGCTATGGGAGGTATCTTTTTTTTTTTTTTTACAGTGTGTGTCTATATGATGATCCTGAATAACCAATAAAAAGTGAGATTATACTCAAAATACTGTATATAAGAAGAAGGGAGGGAGTGTTTAATTTTTAAAAATGATTTCCAACTAAGATTTAAAAAAAATTTCATACTTTAAGAGCTAAGGTTCATTTAACCTGGAAAATTAAGCTAGATGTAGATGAAATGTTTTTTTTATCAGTGTGAGAGTAGACACTAGGATATAAGGAGATCATTTCTTATACCTCTCCACGGAAACAACTTGGCTACGACAATAATTTTAGAGAACAGCTTCAGAAATTGTAGTAGTGCTGGTTAAGATGTGCATCAGTCAGCACCAGTGCAGACTCTGGGTATCACTGAATGCTAAATTCAGCAGCTTTAATCTTTCCTTAATTAAAAGGAATTTGTACATTAATTCCACCCCCGCAACTCATGACATACCTCAACGAACATCATGTGTAAAATAAAATAGATTAAAAGCAACTAGAATACAAAGATTAATTTGACTACTTGCTTCAGGTAAGACTTACAGAAGAAATATGGTAGTGATGCCATACAAAAGCTGAAGACTTAAAGGATTAAATTAGCTTCTTAGAAATTTTTATTAATTATACCTTTATAATAAAGCACTTTTTTCCCCAGAGGAAAGGTGCTTTGTAAATCTTTTGAAAAGCACACTTTGAAATATTTCTATTATAGACCATATGCAGTCAGTCAGCTCCAGTAAAGTAAGTATTCTTTTGCACATTGTTGAATTCAGATCGAATTTCTTTCATGCTTTAATTCAGTTAACCTTTATATTTGACATTGCTTTCACTGTGTCAGTGCCATGTAAGAGAGTTTTGATGTTAACAATTTAGTCTTCCTTTCAGCCTACTTATTCTTTTCTTAACAGTTGTACTAGTCAGGCTTTGCCAGAGAACAGAACCATTAAGATTATGTGTATTTGCTCTCCACCCCCCCCCCCCCCAACCAGAAAAAGAGTAAAAAGAAAAAAGTCCCACAATTTGCTGTCTGCAAGCTGTAGACCTAGGGAAGCTGGTGTGTAGTTTGGAGGACTGAGAGCAGGGGAGCAGTGTTGTAGATGACAGTGCGAGTCTGAAGGCATGAGAACCAGGAACACGGAGGGCAGGGTAAGATCCATGGTCCCAGCTCAAGCAACCAGGCGGAGAGCAAATTCAGACTTCCTTCAGCTTTTTATTCTATTCAGGTTCTTTCAATGGATTTGATTATGCTCACCCACATTGGGGAGGGCCTTCTGCTTGAATCATTTCTCCAATTCAGATGCTAATCTCTTCTAAGACATTCCCAGAAATAATGTTTAACCAGACATCTGGGCATGCTGTGGCCCACTCAAGTTGACACACAAAATTAATCATCACAAGTGTGCTTTATTTTAAAAAGCATCTGCAATAAATATGTAGAAATGTTTACATTTAGATACAATGTCACATGCCATCTTTTTTTGTGTGTGACACTTTTCTTAAATTGTCTTGGTAACTCCATTTTCTGGTACTGTAATAATCAGATGCCCACCATGGGAACCCAAAAGTTCTTTTGTGCTAAAGTGAGTAGAGCCATACTTTTCCACAGCGTACAGTGTATACATAGGTTGCTAAAGACTAGGCATAGCAATAGATAATAGGGCAGAGGCTCAGAACAGATGGAACTAAATATTTATTTGTAAGGAGATCCTGCGTGCCTCTCTGTTACACATTTAATCTGAGTTTTTTCAAGAGACTTTGGTTTATATGCTTCCTGGTTCATTTTTTAAAAAGTTTTCTTCCAAAATGGGAATAGCGATGCAGTTATATATCCTTTCTAGCAGAAATATCCTCTTCCCTTTTAAAACATATACTCTTTAAATGGCTTCAGTGCACATAGATTTTGATGAATGTTAAAAATATAAGCTTTGGATTTGCAAATGAAAGACTAATCTTCATAGACTTCCCAAGCCACCAGTGGAAAAATATCTCTATGTAACTTCAACAAATGTACAAACTTACCAGAGTTGAATGATAATATGTATGTAAGAAAGCCTAGAATGAGCTCTTGTCACTTTGTTGGTTCAAATATCTATGTCTTAGCTGAAATTTAATTGTAAAACACTTAAGAAAATTGAGGGTTTTGTAAATCGGAACGAAAAAACAAGAGGTTTGACATGTTCAAGTGAAAAGTAGAACCAAGACTTTTTGTTCATTTTTAAATAAGGGACCTGAATCTTCAACTTTATAATTTTTCTTTAAGTAAGGGCTGTAATTAGTGCCATAACTGAAAAATTATAACAGCATCAAGAGAAAGGTGGTTAAAGTGACAGTTTTAGGCACAACATGTTGATTGGATTGACCCAGTTGGTAGTATGGCTTGGATATAGAGTAACAAGAAAGAAGACAAAAAGTCAACTATTTAAGAGAAGTACATAATTTTGTTGTGACTCCTTTGATTTATATTACCAGTGAATTGATTGCTAAAGCAGTTGGATCTTTTTAAATATGTTTTTATTGATTTTTTTAGAGAGAGGAAGGGAGAGATAGAAACATCGATGTGAGAGAGAAGTGTAAATTGGCTGCCTCCTGCACGCCCCCTACTGGGGATCAGGACTGAAACCCTGCCATGTGCCCTGACCAGGAATTGAACCAGGACCTCTCAGTTCATGAGACAAGACTCAGTCTACTGAGCCTCACTGGCCGGGTTTTAGTGCTTATTTTACTTGGCTTATTCAAGGCAACTTGGTACTGTTTACTACTCTGGCCTGGCAACTTTCTTCCCCTTGACTTTTATAAAAATCTTTTCTCTTGGTATCCTTTTTTCCTTTGACTATTCAATCTCCTCCAAGTATGTATTTTTTTTTTTTTTTAATTTTTTTTTCTTTATTGATTTTAGAGAGAGAGAAGGGAGAGGGAGAGAGAGAGATAAAACATCGATTGGCTGCCTCCTGCATGCCCCCCACTGGGGATTTGGCTCACAACCTGGGCATGTGCCCTGACCAGGAATTGAACTGGCAACCTCTTGGTGCATTGGTCGACGTGCAGCCACTGAGCCACACCGGCCAGGCCAAGTATGTATTCTTACATTTAATGTTTCTCTGGGTTTTCTCTTTACCTCTTTTCTTTCTCATAATGCTTTTGCATATTATTTTTAATTTTTTAATTTTTTATCCTCACCCAAGGATACGTTTATTGATTTTTAGAGAGAGGAAGGTAGGGAAGTGGGGAGAGACAGAGAGAGATATAGACATAGGCATAGACTTTGATTGGCCTTCTGTACATGCCCTGTGGGAATCGAACCCACAACCTTTTTGTGTATGGGACAATGTTCTAACCAACAGAGCCATCTGGTCAGGGCTTGCACATTATTTTTTAATAATATTACCCACTCTTGATAGTGATATCTATACTAAGACACCTACTGAAAGAAAGATAATATGCTTGACATCTCAATCTAAAACAACTCAATTTTCTCACATCATTGCTAGACTTCCTCATCCTTGTTTATTAGTGAACATTATATCTACCAGTTTCTGAACCAAAGAAAAGATGAAATTTTAAATGAAATGGTGGTGATATGCACAGAAGGATACATAACACTTAAGTTTTCGGAGACATGATTTTTTTTTTTTCTCCTTAGGATATGTGCAAGGAATGAGTGACTTACTTTCCCCTCTTTTATATGTGATGGAAAATGAGGTCGATGCCTTTTGGTGCTTTGTCTCCTACATGGACCAAATGGTAAGAATGGGGTTCCTCCCTTTAATCATACCAACTCGAAAATTTTAGTTGTTTAATCTTATTATATGTAATAAGATCGATGCTTATATTTAACCAGTTATGATGGAACTTTAAAAAATTGCTTTGTGTTTGTTTCTTTTTTTAACAGCCTTTTCAAGAGGCTTAAAAATGCTGCCATTGTTTTTAATACAAAAAGTAGATAGGAAAGTGCCTGTAGGACAAGAATAATCAAGTTTTAATATCAGTAAATGCTTGTATTTTGCAGAAGAGCCAGGAGTCATTACAGAATATTGATGAATAGATGAATTCAGTTCTTGTGAAGTAGTTGAACTTTTATATCATCTGTTTCAAAGATAAAGCTTAGTCATACTAAGTAATATCCTTACTTTTTGTGAACATTTTGGATTTTGTCACTGATTTTTCTCTAGATGTGTTTGAACTATTTGTAATGCTGACACTTTCTTAGTAGTTCACTGTTATTTTCTCAGAAGCATGTGGTTATTAGAGTTGAACTATGTCTATATATACATATTACAAATAACATTTTATCTATTATCATTGATATATCTTGGCAGTAGAGTTCTAGGACAGTAGTACAGAGAGACTATAACAGGAAAATAAAATAGAGCAGTCTTAAGTTATCTTTTAGAATGAAAAAAAAAAAGCAGAGGGCCTAAGAGTAGATAAAGGCATATGAAATCCAAAGACTTGACTACATAGGTCACTGTACTGTTTCAGAATAAGATTAATATACTTCATTGTGGGCTTCAGTGTCGGATATTGAAATGGTTTGCTGGTTTACTGCGGTTAATCAGTTCCAGACTCTAGTGCGATAAATGAATTTCCATGAAATAGGATTCTTTATTTATAAATCAAATATTTTCACAGTTAGAGCAGAGAAAACCTGTTTACAACCTTCTAAATAAGTTTATTAACATTATTAGAGCCCTCTAAACATGAAATAACACTCTTTAGTCACCATTACACTCATATTACCCAATATATTAGAGAAAATAAGACATATTAGACATCACAAATACCATTATTATTGTACATTTAATTACACACACACAGTTCTTTTTTTTTTTTTTTTCCATCCTCACCCGAGGACATTTTTCCATTTTTTGTTCAGATAGTGTGGGAGGGAGAGAGAGGACGAGAGAGAGAGAGAAACATCGATGTGAAAGGGACACATCGAGTGGCTGCCACCCACACAACCAACCAGGGCCGGGGACAAACTGCAACCGAAGTACATGCCCTTAGCGGGAACCGAACTTGGGTCTCTCCGGACCGCAGGTCGATGCTCTAACCGCTGAGCCAAACCGGCCAGGGCCACAGTTCTTTTTTTTTATCCTCACAGGAGGACAGTTTTTTGCATTTATCTTCAGATAGAGCGGGAGGGAGAGAGGGAGGAAGAGAGAGAGAGAAACATCGATGTGAGAGAGACACACGGAGTGGTTGCCACCCACACAACCCCAACTGGGGCCAGGGACAAATTGCAACCGAGGTAGGTACGTGCTCTTAGCGGGAACCAAACCCAGGACTCTCTGGTCTGTAGGCTGACGCTCTAACCACTGAACAAAACTGGCCAGGGCCACACACACAGTTCTTACACACAACCACTAACCTATGAAAATAGTGCAATTTGTTCGATGATGAAGCGATGAAGATGAAGAGATGTACTGCACAGCAAAGAAGAGCAAGGTTACTGCTCCTCTGAAGGCAAGACCTCAGTAGGAGAGTCTTCAGGTGGTGCATATCGTCAGCAGGTGTGTTGTCGTCTTTTTCCCCTGAAGGAGCACTAGGAGTAGGCAGTGGGTGTGTGGGTGTGCGTCTGAAGAACATCGTGGTAGGCAGTTGCTGGCATTGTCTTTTCATATGCATGAGAGGCTTTTGTAGGGTTCCATCGCTCCATCAAGTGCATTTTGGAACCACAATGCACACATTGTTTGTGGGTCCCATTTGCCAGTCATGTCCTGTACTACCTTAATAGTTCTCACAACTTGCGAGAGACGCTCAAGTGTAAGGCCAACTTCCTCCTCCTGACCCCCAGGAACCTCTGGCTGCTCTTCCTCCTCCTCACTCACAGACTTAGTCATCTCCACCAGATCCTCATCAGTTAAGGGATCGAATGTGTCTCCAGCAGCTCATCCACGTCATCGTGGGCCATATCTGCGAAACCTTCTCCTCCCAGCATCAGGGCTAGCCTAACTGCCTTCTCTACTGCCAAGTTGCTTACATCCTCTGGGGTGAATCCTCTGTAGTCGTGGACAATTTCAGGCCACAGCATCTTCCAGCTGGACTTCACGGTCTCTGTCTTTATGTCCTTCAACGCGGGCTGGATGTTCTTCAGACAGGTCACGATGGTATACTGCCGCCACTACTCCTTCAGCAAGAAGTTCCCCTTAAGGTCCATGCCTTTGACGAGGTGCTGCAGGGTGTTTTGCGTGTAGAGGACCTTGAACATGCGAATAACACCTTGATTCATGGGCTGGATCAGCAAAGTGGTGTTGGGAGGAAGGAACTCAATCCACACACCGTGGTAGGATAGGTCTTGCGCATGACCTCCAGCATTGTCCAGGAGGAGAAGGATGTTAAACTCCAGTCCCTTCTCCGCGAGATACAGCTTGACTTGGGGGATGAAGCACTCGTGGAACCAGTCCAGTGACAGCTGCTCCGTGAGCCAGCCCTTGTCGCTGTGCATCCAATGCACCGGCAGCAGGTTCTTGTTTTTATTCTTCAGGGCCCTAGGGTTCTTGGACTTGTAGGTAAGGGCAGGTTTGAGCAAAAATCCCTCAGCATTTCCACACATAACGATAGTCATGCGATCCTTATATGCCTTGAAGCCACGAACTTTGGCCTCATCCTTGAAAATGAATGTCCGGGAAGGCATTCTTTTCCAGACCAGTCCTGTTTGTTCATATTGAACACCTGTTCTGGATGATACTCGCCCTCCTCAAGGATCGTCTGGAACGTGTTGTTCACGTAGTCCTCCGCTGCAGGCTGGTCAGCAGAGGCAGCTTCTCTGCGGAGAACGACATTCTTCAGATGATACCTCTTCTGGAACTTCTCGTACCAACCCTTGCTCTCTGGGAAATACATGAACATTGCAGAAGAGGGTCCTGGTTGAGGTTTGTCTGCCATATAGCGCTGATAGAGCTGCCTCGTCTTCTCCTGGATGACCAGCCAATCCAACGGAATGTTTTTCTTGCAGCTCTCGCTGATCCAAATGGCTAGGGCAGGCTCTCTTTTTACTATGAACTTATTACGACTCGTCACGATGCACTTTGCTTCTTTGTTGAAAGAGACAGTAGATGTTGCATGGATGTTCTTTTCATCTTTATGGGTGGAGTGAATGGTAGACTCATTTAAGTTGTAATGGCCGGCAACCTTCATGATTTTCTTGCCATTTTTGATCATATCCAAGAATTTCACCTTCTCCTGGATGGTAAGCATCTTCCTCCAGCGCTTAGTTTCATCGTCAGAAGACTTAGAAGAAGCAGCACGTTTGGGAGCCATCATGGGGCTTAGATAAAAGTTCTAAGAAATCGCAAACACTCACAAGAGCAAAGATGCTTCTGATGTGTAGTAATGTAGAAGTGTGTATGAGAGAAACAAACTTGCATGAGGCTGAGCCAATCTGGCCAGGATAGGATCAGGGTAGGATAGCCAATCAGTGAACAAGCACACTCTAATTGGCTTGGTTTCACCACACCCAAATTTTTGGAAAAAAGCTATTGCCCTCACACAAGGAGTGGTCGAGAGGTTGCACCTGGTGTTGAAGGATTTGTCGGGGTGCTTGAATACATAGTTCTGCAGTCCATACGTACAGTAATTTTAATTTTAATTATAATACAGGGGTGTATAATTGACTCAGACAACAAATTACAGTGATCTAGTAATATCATAGTTTGTCTTCCTTACCTATTTTTTTTTTTATTTTCTCCCGAGGACATTTTTGCATTTATCTTCAGATAGATCGGGAGGGAGGTAGGGAGGACGAGAGAGAGAAACATTGATGTGAGAGACACACATTGACTGGTTGCCACCCACACGACCCCAACCGGGGCCGGGGACAAACTGCAACCAAGGTACGTGCCCTTAGGAGGAACCGAACCCAGGACTGTCTGGTCTGCGGGCCAGCGCTCTAACTGCTGAGCCAAACTGGCCAGGGTTCTTCCTTACCTTTTTGATTCACTGATTTTACTTGCCTTCTTAGTTCCAATTACTCCCCAGTGCTCTAGAAACCTGAGGCATTTGTTATAAAGGTCTGCAACTGATGTTAATTTTATAAAAACTCTTGTCTGCCTTCCTTGTGTTTGTGTTGTTTATCCTCTTTACACTAGAGCTGGTATGTTACTTGGTAAAGGGTTCATGTCTTTGCTTAACTAGTTCTCTGGTATGCTTCCATCATTTTTCTAATGCCTGATGAGATTTTTGTTCAACAGATTTTTTGTAGAATAAACACATGAATATTTCCCCAGTGCTTAGTACAGTAGGTACTCCAGCAGAGTTAATGTGAACCTACTGTGTGTAGTGTTTTACAATAATAGTATTGCATACAACTGAGGAAATATTGTCATGTTCAAATATTATGATACTAATCGCATACATACATGTGCAGGTATTAGGTATCAAAGGTAAAGATAACTTCCTGAACATCTGTAATAGACACTTGTAATCTATTTGTTATTTTTTGTATATGAAGGTTCATGTTCTTCTGTCTTTTTCATAGTAAATGTCCTCTGTGTTTGCCTTTCCTACGGAGGATGTCTGGGGATTTTTCTTGTCTTTATTCTAAAAAGATCTCTTAATATATTGTCTACTAACATCTTTTTTTAAGAAGTAATATTGAAAGGGCAGTGTGTTACAATCAAAATAACTTGCACGATTAATTTTCACTTTATTGCTGTTGTTTTAGTGCCCTTTACTTGATCCTGCTGTTGTTTGACTCCATTTTGTTTAAAGCTTTATTTCATATAATATATTATTTCTTATGTGACAGCTAAATCTAATGTCTGTAGATTTATTTCTGTTGATATTGACTCACATCCATTGTAGGTCTAGTCCCTCCCTTTCTTCTCCTCACCTTCCACCCCCATATCTTATATATGCATATGTATGTATGTATACATCAGATGTAATATGCATATATAATATATGTATGCACATATATATGCATACATATTCATGTGTATGTATATACATACACACATATTTATTTATAGATACTGTTAAGGCCCTTTGTATATCCATATAGATCTTCTTCTTCTCCAGAAATAGCTATTTGTCCAGAGCTGGCTTCTGTCATGTTGGGAGTGCTCCTTTTCATAGCTGAGTGGGTAGAGTGGCTATGCCATATTGGTACTCCCTAACCAACTAGGTTTTGGCCGTGTCCTAACAAAAATGATGCTGTTACTGAGAGAGTTCATTCTACTTTTCCCCTTCAGGTCCACATGGTAAATGTGAAGAAACGCTATCTTAAAGGCTTATATTAGTCTGTTAAACTATTCTTTAAATCATTAAAGAGAAACTAGTTTATTGAGAATTAGTAGCCTTTAAGTTATTTCTTGTTTTTACCAAAAATGGATGGTTTCTAATCTGATACATACTTCTAACATAGTACTACTGTTTCTAAAACCAAAAAATAAGCCTGAAGGAGTGGATGTTCTTAGGCTTTCACAAGGGTTAAGGTTGTATGTCACCAAAGAGGGGTTGGTGCACGTTTTAAAGGGATCAGAATAATCTAAGAAGCCTTTTGTTTATTTTGGTGCCCCCTCTGTCTTTGACTGAAGTGTTGGTAGGGAATCAACTAAACTTTGAAGATTTTTGGAAGCATGTAAACCACAGCAGTTCTCAAACTTTGTGATCTCAGGACCCTTCACACTTTTAAATGTTATTATTTGTTTATATAGGTTATCTATTGATGTTTATCACGTGAAAAATTAGTACTGAGAAATTTAATATTTGTTCATTTACAAATAACAGTAAACCTACTACAACTGAACATATCTATCATTTTAAAATGGAAAGTTAGTTTTCCAAAACAAAAACAGATTTACTGAGAAGAGGGATTGTCTTACATTTTCATTTTCTTTAACATCTAGTTTAGTCATACATGCTTCTGTGTTCAGTGTTTTGCATTATCACACATTTTATAGCCTTTATACTTGAGGGAGATTCTAAAATGCAAGATGCATATAATCTCTAGTATTGTCATAAAGATGGTTTTGGCATTACAGATTTCCCTAATGTCATCAAATCTAAGAAATAGTTAATTTTTTAAAAAGATACATGTTAAAGCTAAAATTAAGTTGTATGTGATAATTTGAAGAAATATTTAACAGTGCGCCCTTGGCCAGTTTGGCTCAGCGGTTAGAGCGTCGGCCTGCGGTCCGGAGAGACCCGGGTTCGGTTCCCGCTAAGGGCACGTACTTTGGTTGCAGTTTGTCCCCGGCCTTGGTTGGTTGTGCGGGTGGCAGCCACTCGATGTGTCCCTTCACGTCGATGTTTCTCTCTCTCTCTCCCTTCCTCTCCCTCCCTCCCACTCTATCTGTACAAAAAAAAAAAAAAAAGGAAAAAATATCCTCGGGTGAGGATTAAAAAAAAAAAAAAAGAAATATTTAACAGTGGAAGTGATTTGATAAAAGTTTATTTCCCAAATGTGTGTTCCTTTCACCAATCTCTTATTCGATGTCAGAAATTTGTATGTCACCAGCCTGCAGTTAACTGTCTCTGCATTCTTCTTTCTCTAAATCAAAAGAATAGAGTTTGAGGCCAGAGATTCTCTTTCCTTCTTTTTTAATGTTGCTTTAGCTTTTTAATTTGTTGTGATTTTTAAAAATATAATCGGTGTGGTATTAGTCCAACATTTGTCTTTAGACTTATGGTTTAGTTATTAGTCATTATGTACTATAAAATATTTATTAAATATTACTTATTTGGTAACGTGTTTTCTTTTGTAAAGCATCAGAATTTTGAAGAACAAATGCAAGGCATGAAGACCCAACTAATTCAACTAAGTACCTTACTTCGATTGTTGGACAGTGGATTTTGCAGTTACTTAGGTAAGGTTAGTGAATCAGCAAATTGTAGGGTAATACACAGGGAGAAAAATGTAAATAACTCTCTTAAAGACATCTAGGTTCTATTACTGTTGCCTGGGATCCTCTGAGGAATGAAAGTGTGGGACCAAACTGTCTTCGTGTACTTAGGTCTTAAAAATTTTTTTTTTCTTTAAAGATAGTTTTGTTCTTTTTTTAAAAAAAAATTATGTTTCTATTGATTTCAGAGAGAGGAAGGGAGAGGGAGAGAGATAGACACATTGATGAGAGAAACATTCATCAGCTGCCTCCTGCATGCCTCCTACTGGGGATTGAGCCCACAACCCAGGCATGTGGCCTGACTGAGAATCAAACTGGCAACCTCCTGGTGCATGGGATGACACTCAACTAATTGAGCCACACTAGTTGGGCTGTGTACTTACATCTTAAAAGAATTTATAAAATGAATGATTTGTTGTTGTTTGGTTGTTTTTGTTTAAAGAAGTTAGCCTGCAGGTTTGAATTGTTTCCTTGAATTAGTAGAAGGTAATTAAATTTATAGGACTTGTAATAGACTAAGATGCATAGAAAATTTGAGTTTGAAATAGGTCACTGTGTTCTGAGATAATTAGCATTATAGTAAGCCATATATATATTTTTTCTTCTGTATAGAATCTCAGGACTCTGGATACCTTTATTTTTGCTTCAGATGGCTTTTAATCAGATTTAAAAGGGAATTTAGTTTTCTAGATATTCTTCGATTATGGGAGGTAAGTTCTTAAATTATACAAATATAATATTATGGAAAGCAAAAATTTATTCTATAGAACATAAATGGATTATAATAGTCTGAGATTTCTAGAGCAAGTATGTTTCAAAAATCTGATAGTTTGTCGTCTCTCCTTAAAAATTAATGATTTTGAACTGAATATCTGGTTTTTGAGCCTTGTTCTGTAAATCATGACCCTTATGAGCTCTGTGGCCAGTTGGTTTCCTAGAACCTGTTCTCTGGACCACTCGTGTCTGTCTGTCCTGGGAAGACCTGGCTGCGTGAGGCTCTGCCTCATTCTAGGTAGATTGTATTCTAGTTCAAGAGGTTTTGACAGGCCAGGCAGTTGAGGTGGCAATTGATTTATATTTTGAGGTATTGGGAGGGAGCTGCCTTGTGTTTTGCCTTTTGTAAAAGAAATTTAAGTTAGAGCAAAATACCGAGAATAATATAACACACATTCTAACATCCACATTTAACAGATGAGGAACATAGAATTTTAAGAAAAACTCACATATTCTTGACCTGGAATCATATTTTTAAAGTTTATCAATTTTGTTAAACTAGTATCTCAACTTTTTGTTTTGTTAATCCTTACCCGAGGATCTTTTTGCATTGATTATCTAAGAGTGTGGAGGGGGTGCGGGGTGGAGAGCAGAAGGGAGAGAAACATCAATGTGAGAGAGAGACATTGGTTGCTTGCCTCCCACAGGACCTTGACCGGGGCCAGGGATTGAACCCAGGTATGTGCCCTTGACTGGTAATTGAACCCGTGACACTTGGTCTGTGGGCTGACTGTTGAACCAAACTGGCCAGGGCAGTATCTCAACTTTTTTAAAAGGATGATTGAGAATATTATTACCACATAGCTATAGAATAACTTCCTAATCTGTGTTTACCAAATATATTGGGATTTTAAGTAAAACCTTGGAGGTTAATTGAATTTCATTTAAACTTTAAAAAATTGGCTTGGTCCCAAAATTACTCAACTTGATTTACTCCTGGTGAAAGAAGTAAAAGTATTTTAGGTATGTGTTAATAGTATGGTTATATGGGTCTTTTTATGTTTCCAGATAAGATATTATCAGGTACATTAACCAGGGGAAATTTAGGCCTTAAATTTGAGGGCATTACTTATATTTAGGAAGAAATGCAGCTACTGATCAAACGTTTTATGTATGTGGGTATGCATTTTGGGTAGTTGATTCAGTTTTGTCACAATATCTGACTTGTATAGTATGATGTTTAAAACGTAGAGTTGACTCTGAGTGTCTTTGGTTCCATGCATTGTGTAACTGAATCTTTTTTTATTTACAGGATTTAGATTTCTTTTCTAGAGACTGAGGGTGATTTAATAGTGAGAAACTTTAAAATTAATTTACAGCATGTAATTGAAAGTTCAGAAAAATATTTCAAATGCCTCTGACTCTTACACCTTAAACGTAACCTCATAGTTGTGGCTCTTAAATTAATACCATTTATCATATTGATTAGACTCAGTGATTTGCTTATTGTGGCTCCCTAAAGAGTCACATTTGGAATTCATCGTATTCGTGTAATGTTAAGCTCGATGGTAGTTGCTTTGTAGATAAAGATAAGACTTCCTTACTCTACTCCTCATTTCCTAACTAGAAAACTGGTTGACTACTCCATGTAGGCAACTTCTGCTTTGCATAGAAGTCATTTAGAGTTCAGCATTGTATATATGAGGAACATATTTTAGAATTAATATGGTTTACTAAATAGTTGTTTTGTTTTACAGGTAATGTGGACTGAATTACCATGTAAAAATTTCCACCTTCTTCTCTGTTGTGCTATTTTGGAATCAGAAAAGCAGCAAATAATGGAAAAGCATTATGGTTTTAATGAAATACTTAAGGTTGTTATTTCTTTAATTTAAGATTTTAGTATTTTGGCTCTTTCCTCTTTTTGGTGGTTTTGATACACAAAACATTTTCTTGGAGCTTTATTGAATCCCTTGAGTAACTTAAATTGTATCAGTAACAGTACTGGGACTGGCTCTGGGAATGACTGTTTACCCAATACATGTTGGCCAGTTACTATTTTTACCTGGCTAATTAGGAAGAAAAGGAAATTCAACAAATGCTTTTTCTTGGTAGTTTAGTTTTCTTTAAAAAAAAAATTGTATTTTGCTTATAACTTTGAGATAGTAGACTTGAGACAGTTGTTAAATTTTTTTTTTTCCATTTATCTTCAGATAGAACAGGAGGGAGAGAGGGAGGAAGAGAGAGAGAGAAACATCGTTGTGTGAGAGACACATCAAGTGGTTGCCACCCACACGACCCCAACTGGACCGGGGACAAACTGCAACCGAGGTACGTGTCCTTAGCGGGAACCGAACCCGGGAATCCTTGGTCCGCAGGCCAATGCTCCAACCGCTGAGCCAAACCGGCCAGGGCGACAGTTGTTAAATTTAATGTTCTATATACTTATTAGTTATTTTTCAGCTTTAAAACTTGAAGTGATCTAAGGAAAGATGAATTTTCTATTTGTAGTGTGTGAATATTTTTATTTTAAAGATTTTATCTATAGTGAAATATAATTGGTAATAAATAATATAGTAGAACATATAGTGCTTTCAATTTTGATTATCATTTTATTTTATTGATTCATTTTAGCATATCAATGAATTGTCCATGAAAATTGATGTGGAAGATGTACTATGCAAGGCAGAAGCAATTTCTCTACAGATGGGGAAATGCAAGGTATACAGTATTTTTTTTTAATCCTCACCCAAGGATATGTTTAGAGAGAAGGAGGGTAAGAGTGAGAGTGAGAGTGAGAGAGAGAGAGAGAGAGAGAGAGAGACATCTATTGATTGCCTCCAGTATGTGCCCTGACCAGAAACGAACCTGCAACCTTTTAGTGCTTGGGACAATGCAGCAACCTCTGAGCCACCCGACCAGGGCTCACGGTATACAGTATTTTAAATAATTGCAAGATTTTTTGTTATATGTTTTGGGTGGGTTGAGGTGAAGAAAGAATTTTTCTTCTTAGAAGTAATATAAATGGCAGCTTTAGCAAGTTGAAGGCAGATACAAAGCATTGGCTAGCATTTAATTTAGAATTATAGATTTATAGCACATAATTGAAAACAGTTGATTAACTATGCTAGATGAAAATTATATAATGCAAAATGGCAAAAGTAATGAAAACATTTCTGTAAAAATAACAAGGCTGTAGAATGTAAGCATTGGTTTATTACCCAGTCGAATTTGTAGTGCCTCCAAATAAAGATAGATGTTAATCAGAAGTGATTAAGTCCATGTCATTACATTTGTATGTCATGCTCTTAGTTTGCCTGAAAAGGCAAATTTGATGTGTTATGATCTGAATTCAAACCACATCATTGATGTATTTTGGCTTTTGCATTTTTATGAGAATTCTTTTTTGGTCTTTTCCTCATTTGTTCATGGTTCCAGATACTTATTTTGGTTCAGTTTTATAAACACTTATTTGGTAGCTATTTTGTTCAAAACATGTCAGTGATACCTTCTTTTTAAAAAATTTTTTTTAATCCTTGAGGACATTTTTGCATTTATCTTCAGATAGAGTGGGAGGGAGAGAAGGAGGAAGAGAGAGAGAGAAACATCAACATGAGAGAGACACATCCACTGGTTGACACCCGCACGATCCCAACCGAGGCCGGGGCCAAACTGCAACTGAAGTACATGCCCTTAGTGGGAACCGAACCCGGGACTCTCTGGTCCGCGGGCTGGTGCTCTAACCGCTGAGCAAAACCGGCCAGGGCAGTGATACCTTCTTATCTTTAAGGGACCTTTGTATATTGAGGGGAAAAGACAGTGTAAATAAGATAGAAAAACAATGAGAATGAACCAAATGCTAAATATTAGTAACTATATGGTTTTTTTGGTGGGGAGGGTAGAGTGGGGTGGAGAGTGATTAATTCAGAATAGAAGACCAGGGAACCACTTAATGAAAAAAGTGGTTAGGATTTCATTTGGAGTAGAGAAGGAAGATTTGAGAGGGTACGTAAGAATTACACTGTTAGAACAAATGTTCAAATTCTGGAATCATAGTCTTAATTGGAGGTGTTATTTTGTGATTAATTCTTCTGTATAGTGAATGATGGTTTTGTTTTTTGATTTTTCATATTCAGGAATTGCCACAAGCAGTTTGTGAGATCCTGGGTTTTCAGGACAGTGAAGTTACAACACCAGATTCAGACACCGGTGAAGATGAACATGTTGGTGTGACTGGTTGCCCTACACCTGCGTTTCAGAGGAACTCCTTGCCTGTACTCGCTGCCAGTGGAGCCAGAGAAGACAACCCAACACAGATACCAGTGTCCCCAGATGTTGGCAGATTAGCACCTGCATGATCCTTCTGGTTGCTTAATTTTTGAAGAGACACTTTGTTGCAACTTCTTTTCAAGTACTTGAAAGGTGGAAATTTAAATCTTGGTAATGATCATGCTTTAAGGTTTATGGAAAGAAAGTGTACTGATGTTCTTGCATTAAAGCTTTACAGAGATTTACACTAATTATTTTTGTAGTTACTTCTACCAAATAGCCTTTCTTTTTCAGTAACATTCCTTAGTATTTTTATAGCCAAGTACATTTTATTTTCTTGCTGATGAACTGGAATTGGATATTACAAGTGAATGAGTTGGAAATTATGCACTTTGAAAACGTTCACTTTGTTTAAGTTTAGTGGGTCTTGGCTTTGATTAAATTAAATGTTGAGCCTTTCTATAGCATTCTAAGCTGAGAAGTAGAATGCTGCCCAATGACAAAATAAAATAGTTTGTTTTTCTCTATTGTTTACAACAATACTCAGCTTAAATATTTATGCTGGTTGAATATGATTTAAATTGGACATTTTCATCAATGCAATTTAATGTGTGAGATAAAGAGCTACTTCAACCATAAGTGGATTGGCAGTATATTTTTTACAATGAACTTTTCTTCACTTGTATATAAAAACTATATAAGTACTTATTTATGAGTATCAGAAAGGAATAGCATATTTTCTTTAACTGAGTAAACTTGACAATTATTGATTTATATAACCTGATTTGACAAAATTAATACATAGCTTCAATATGAGATCTTTTTCAAAACTATTTTCTTAACCAAGCATTTATTTCATGAGACTACATTCAACCCTATACCTGGTGTAATTTTGAAATTAATTGATTATAACCTCACTTTACTAATAATGTTTATTGTCTTTCCTAATAATGTATTAACTAATTAATCAGGTCTTTAAATTTCTATAAAATACTCTGAAAAAAGCTTATGTTAAAAATTTCAATATACTATCTATCACAAGTCTCAAAAAAATACTCTTTTGTATATGAACAAAGCTGTTGTTTTTACCATGCAGTGTTGCATGATTTTTAAGTTATGTGGAATTAACATAACTGATTTCATTTTAATTGTAATTTGTTAACTCCTGTACATATCATTAAAATAAATTTAAAGTTGATGTAGTGTTTTCAGTTAAATTACACCTAGAAATAGTCTGGAAGTTCTTCATTAGGAGAAAAAAAATTCAAGATGGACCCAGTAAATTTTATATTTTTATGTTACTGAAACAATCATTTGAATGAGTTGTGGAAATGAGAAAGAAACGACCCCCCCCCCCCCTTTTTTTTTAATCCTCACCCGAGGACATTTTTCCATTTTTTGTACAGATAGAGTGGGAGGGAGGGAGAGGAAGAGAGAGAGAGAGAAACATCGACGTGAAAGGGACACATCGAGTGGCTGCCTCTCGCACCACCCAACCAGGGCCGGGGACAAACTGCAACCGAGGTACGTGCCCTTAGCGGGAACCAAACCCGGGTCTCTCCGGACTGCGGGCTGATGCTCTAACCGCTGAACCAAATCAGCCAGGGCGACCCCTTTTATCACTGTAAACAAATGTTCACTGGCATGAAATTGGGCATAGTGTTGCCATGGAGGGCGCACAGCTATGTGACAGTAAAGGGCTGTCCACAGCCGATGCTAACAGAAACTGTGACGCAGTTTTAAAATGGTCCAATAGATAGACTCCCCTGCCCCCTAGAGCTAAGAAACCAAATGAAATTTTTTTCCTACTTGAGCATTAACTGACAATCATGACAGTAGAACCAACCATTAGATGTTAGTTTTTAATATCATATGTGTTATCTTTCATCAGTTAATAATGAGTAAGCCTATTCAGAAAAAAAAAGTAAACTGATCAAAAACTCAGCATCTCCAGCCTTTCATTTCCTGCTGTTCAGGAAATTGCTTAGAACATCTTGATGTCCTTCTTGTTCTTCCTGGACAGGGGCTTTGGGAAGTTTGTTCTCACTACATAATGTGATATCTACTTCAGAGTTTTTAAAAATCTTAATACATTTAGTAAGTTGAACTTTTGTCAAGTCTTTTTAAAAAATAAAACTACTTAAAACAATTTTACTAAATAGTCTAGAGCATTTTTTTTGCAGTGTTAATATGATATAGTGCTAAAGTTTTTATTTAAATATAGTTGAAATACAATATTACATTAGTTTCAAGAGTACCATATAGTGATTCAACATTTATATACCTTACAAAGTGATCTCAGTAAGTCTAGTAACCATCTGTCACTGTACAAAGCTATTACGATCTTACAGTGTATTTTCCATGCTATACACTACATCCCTGTGACTTATTTTATAATTGGAAGTTTGTGCCTCTCACTCCCCTTCACCTTTTTGGCCTTTCCCTCCACCTCCTTCTCTCCTGGCAACCATAACTTTGTTCTCTATATCTGTGAGTCTGTTTCTGTTTATTTTATTTTTCATATTCCACATGTAAGTTGAAATCATACCGTATTTGTCCTTCATTGTCTGACATTTTACTTAGCATAATACCCTCTTGGTTCATCCATGCTTTCACAAATGGCAATATTTTATTTTTTTAATGGTAATATTCCATTGTATATGTATGTATATATAATATACATACCACATCTTTATTCGTTTATCAATGGACACAGGTTGCTTTCATATCTTAGCTGTTGCAAATAATGCTGCAGTGAACATAGGGGTGCATATATCTTTTTGAATTAGTGTTACTTTTTTATTCAGATAGATACCCAGAAGTGGAATTGCTATGTCATAATGGTAGGTCTATTTAAATTTTTTGAGGAATCTCTAGACTGTTTTTCATAATGGCTACGTCAATTTGCAGTCTTACCAACAGTGCATGAGGGTTCCCTTCTCTCCATATCTTTGCCAACATTTGTTATTTATTGTGTTTTTTTATAATAGCCAATCTGATAGGTGTTAGGTGATACCTTATTGTGGTTTTGATTTGCATTTCCCTGATGATTATTGATGTCAAGCATCTTTTCATGTGTCTATTGGCCTTCTCTATGTCTTCTTTGGGAAACTGTTCAGATCTGTACATTTTTTAGTCGAACTTTTTATTTTTTTGCTGTTGAGTTGTATGAGTTCTCTATATATTTTGGTTTTTAACCCCATATCTATATGTCATTTGCAACCACCTTCCATTTGGTGGGTTGCCTTTTACTTTTTTAAAAAATTTTTTATTTATTAATTTGTTTTTGTTACAGATGTTTCTCATTTTCCCCCCATTGATACTCTCCTCCCCTTCCCCCCACCCCATCCCCAGCTTTGTTGTCTATGTTCATTGGTCATGTATACATGCATGTAAGTTCTGTGGTTTATCTCTTCCCTCACAACCCCCCCCCCCGCCCCCCCTTGAGGCTTGTCAGTCTGTACCCCACCTCCATGTCTCTGAGTTAATTTTCAGCAGTTTGTTTAGTTCACTATATTCCACAAAGAAGTGAGATCATGTGATATTTGTCTTTCTCTGCTTGGCTTGTTTTGCTTAGCATAATACTCTCTAGGTCCTTCCATGCCATCTCAAAGGGTAAGAGATCTTTCTTTCTTATAGCTGCATAGTATTCCATTGTGTACATGTACTGTGGCTTTTTAATCCACTCATCTACTGATGGACACTTGGGTTGTTTCCAGATCTTAGCTATTGTAAATGGTGCTGCTATGAACATAGGGGCACATACATTCTTTCTGATTGGTGTTTCAGGTTTCTTAGGGCATATTCCTAGAAGTGGGATCACTGGGTCAAATGGCAGTTCAATTTTTAACTTTTTGAGATAACACCATAGTGTTTTCCACAGTGGCTGCCCCAGTCCGGCCGTTTTCTTTTGTTGATGGTTTCTTTCACTGTGCAAAAACTTTTTAGTTTGATGTAATCCTGGTTGTTTATTTTTCCTTTTGTTGCCCTTGCTTGAGGAGAATACTAAGGACTTATTCAGAGTCAACAAAATCCAGTTAGCAAATACTATGGAAACTTGAGCTTGCTGAAACAGATAGTTCAGATAAATTCGTTAGTCTCACTTTTTAAAGATTTGTTTTCAGTTTTCACAGAATGCTCTGTTCATACCTTAACATGTAAAATACATGTTGTATTATGTAATATTTAAAGTTGTTAAAATTCAAGTAATGTCTAAAAAGTCTTCATTTCTGGTATGAGTCTGTGGGAAACCTTTTTGCATTTAAGAACATCCCTATTTTGTCCAGTCAGTGTGGCTCAGTGGTTGAGCGTCAACCCATGCACCAAGAGGTTGCTGGTTTGATTCCCAGTCAGAACACATGCCCAGGTTGTGGGCCTGATCCCCAGAGTGGGGCATGCAGGAGGCGGCCAATTGATGTTCTCTCTCATCGATGTTTCTATCTCTCTCTCCATCTCCCTTTCTCTCTAAAATCAATAAAGGAAAAAAAATTAAAAAAAAAAAAAAAAAAAAGAACATCCCTATTTTGATTGATTTTACGCATCTAGGATTCTTCATCTTCGTATGTTAGGAATTTTAATTTTGGCAATGACTGAAGCCTTATTGAGTAAGGAAAACATTATTTTGGGATAGATTGTGAATGATTTTTGCTGAACCTGACTTTTCCAAAGGTTTTTATGGGTGCCAACTAATTCTTATGAGAAATTCATGTAATTATGCCCATTATTAAAGATTGTATAAAGTAACCCAAAATGTTTATTGAAAAACCTAGAACTTCACCTGACTTGTGTGCAACTATGTAACAAGGTAACATCATTCTAGCTTGGATTCCTTTACTTGGGGTTTTCAGAAGATGTGAGAACTTCCTATTGTATTTGAAGTCTTGTATGTATATGTGCATATTTTGGGGAAAGGTCACATCATTTCTTAAAAGGTTCTTTGATTTTCCCAAAAGTTGAGAAACATTGTTATAAATTATTTAATGTGAGAATAATAATATGACTCATGCTAATGATTTTATGTGCTAAACCTCCAATAATTAAAATACGTTCAGAGGTCTCATTTCTAAACCCTTGATCTATATTGTCAAAATTCATGTCCAGGCTCAACTTCAGACCTATGGAATTAGAATCTTTGGAAGTTATGTCAAGTAAGCTGCATTTTAACAGGCATTCAAGTGGTTCCTGAGCCTCCTGAAGTTGGAGAACTGCCATTATGTATTGTATTTCATAGGTTAGTGTTTTGGCTTTGGTCAGGGAGACAAGTTCCTAAGTTTTTAACAAAAATAGTTCCTTGATTTTCTAAGGCCCTCATTCTGGTCATTATTTTTAGCAAATAGTGATGCCAGTCTTCTTAGCCTATAATATGTAGATTTCCCCCTTCTCACAGTTCGAAGATAAACTTTCAATGTCACTTTACTTCTAAACATGAAACAATTAAATTTGAAATGAATCTGAAAGGTTTCCATCAGAACCTAATGTCACCTGGTACTAAATATCTGTGCTTTTAATGTGAATATACTTGAATGATGGAAGGTGTTTGGCCTGTTCTGCTCTTGGGTCCTTATAATATGGAGATTTTCACTTGCAGATTTTTGACACTTCCTCTGATTACAAATATTTGCGCATTGTTCTGTAATTAGACTCCTGTATTTCTCACGCTGTCCATCTTGTCAGAGAAAAACAGTGTGCTGCCCTTAGATGCAAAGGTAGGGTCGGGAAGGGCAGTTAGACTGGACTTATGTGTATAAATGTTTTTGATAGCCAGACACTCTTACAACCCATGGGAAATTGCACTGTTTATGAACTCACTGTGAAAAAAAATTATCAAAATCTCTTTTTCTAAGAACTACCAGGAATTAGAAATACCGTTTTTGCCTAATGTAGTTCAATCCCTAAAGTTAGAATGTAATAGGAGGTCAGCTATTACATATACTTCTCTTTCTCAAATATCTATATAGTGTATTGTGCTCACATATCTCTCTCTCTCTGCAAAAGAAGACGGAATGAAAAGAAATTCCCTAAACTTAGCTATGATCAATGAGCAGCCCAGTTCTGGTTCAACTTTTTTAATTAAAAAGACTTATTAACCTCAGGGATGGGCTTTGGCTGTGACAGTCAATAATCGATGTTTTCCAACACCACACTAGTCTTATTGGAGGTATACGACCCAATGGGTTTGTAGACTGCTCTAAAAACACA